CCACACCTTGCCTCTTCATCTACTGCAGAGACCTGTGCGTCTTATTGCATAATGGCCTAGCCTGGGTCCGTGTGGCAATCTCTGATGTACTTTCTGGCCATTCAAGAAGCACTAGGCACTGTGGCAGGATGGGGATAGTGCAAGGAACGGAGCAGTCACATGATTCGAGAGAATCCTGTAGGGAAGCAGGGCTTTAAAGAAGTATCGCTCACCAGTTGTGTAACTATAAGTATGCAGAGGTGACTGAATTTGAAAGTGCTGTGTGAGGTAGGGTGTACTGACTGATGCACGGGAACAAGGACAGGGCCCGGGAAGGCTTTCCTGAGGAAGTGAGCCTAAGAAGGAATGGCCAGGGCTTTGTGGTAAGCTCATCTGGGCAAAGAGTGTTCCCCTCAGAGAGGGAAAGGAGGTGGCAGCTGAGACTAGAAGGGAGCAACAGCTGTGAGAAAGGATCTTCTTAGTCTCTGAGAACTTGAGCCTTGATTCCCTGCTGAGCCCTGCCTCAGGAGTGGTTCTGAAGACCAAGGAAGCCTTTCCTAAACAAGCCAAGGCCCCTAGAAGGCATGAGGGGTGTGGTCACCCATAGTCAGGTCACCTCCAAGGTCCAGTTAGTAGGTACAGGACCTTATTAGAGAGAGGAATTGTTACAAGAGCTCAGTGCTTGCACACTAATGGAAGGAATGTTAGTGTGTGCGAGGAACTAGCATGGAATTTCCTCAGAAGTTTAAAACAGAAGCACCGTGTGACTGGCAGTCCCGCTTCTGGGTGTCTGTTCACAGGCAGTAGGAAGATGCATTTCCACATCCCCTGCAGCCTTAGTCACAGCAGTCAAGGTCTGGGCTCATCAGAAGTGCCCGTCAGTGTATTAACACATAAAGAAAACTTGGTGGGGCACAGTTGGTGCTTGAACAGGGAGGAAACCCTGTCTGGAGGAACATGGAAATCAATGTGTTAAATGAAATAAGCCAGGCACAGACAGACTGAATAGTACAAGGTGTCATTCATGTGTCAGATCTGAAAGAGCTGAATTCGTAGAGGAGGACAGTAATATGGTGGTACCAAGGTCTTAGATGGGGGAGCAACTTGGAGAGATGTTGTCTAAAGGACATGGATGTCAGGAATAAGTTCAAAGGCTGTTATAATGATGGCTTCTTAGAAACAGCTGAGAGAAAAGTGGCGTGTTAGGTAAAGCACGTGTTCGTTAGCTCGATGTTAGCCATTCCATGATGTTTGCGTATTTCAGAGCACACTCACAGGGTGTGTGAGACAATTTTTAATTGTCCATTAAAAAGTAAATAAGCTCTCCCAACAACTCTTATTATAGAAGTGTGATTTTATGATCCACACAACTGTTAGGTGCTACACACACTGCTGTAATTGTGCTTGCTTCAAGGCTGGAAGAGTGACTGATACAAAGGTACGTGCAGGCAGGCAGAATGCCCACTCCATGAAAATACATTCTCTGAAGAAAAAAAAAAAAATTACCATTCAGAAGGAACAGAGAAAAACAGAGACCTTAATTTTGGAAGGGGGTAGTCAGGACACTTAAATCAGGGTCCACAAATAGACTCCAAGAGCCACAAACTGCAGACAGTTGTATGTAGACTGTTAGTTAGACATCAATTTTCGTTTTCAGCACCTTCTGTGGAGCTACTGGCCAGCCGAAGGACAAGGACTGTCTTGCAAGTGAGAAATAATTCCATGCAGACCACCTCTTGGAGACACCAGTGGGTCACGGAGTGAGGGGACTTCCGGACCCCCAATATTCTTCAGTTCTTCTGTGAAGGCCACTTAAAGAAACAAGAAAACAAGACTTAGGGCCCAGGAGTTGGGGTAGGGAGGGAAGGTTCTGCTGCCTCAGAGACCCTGAGCAGTGAGCCTACAGTCCAGCCCCAGGAAGCCCCTGGATACCTAGGGAGGTACAAGCTTATCTCCTAAACCACCGAGTGCCTGGTCTTCAGTAGGGATGGGGCAGAGAAACAGGGCACAGCAGTTGCCTAAAAGTTAACTTTCTGCCTGAAAATACTGAAGTTAAGACCCACCTTGGTCCAAACCTACAGTTTCTATAGTTCGTGTTTCCAGGCTAGTTCTTAGGCCATCTAGCTGAATGTTGGAGTAGAGGAGAACACAGCAGCTTCCCCACTTCTGAAAGGCTCCTATAATGTAAATAGGAACAGCAGTCCTTCCAAGTTATTACCCTGTTAGCAGGTTGACAGATATGTGCAAATTGTGACTCACTGCTCAATTTGGCTCCAAATTAATGTCTTTCCGTGCAGGCCGTGCGGGCCGCGTCTGCTCAAGTGTAAACTCGTCACCGCCGCGGTGCACTGCTTGTTTGCCTGCACTCCAAAGGTAAAAATTAAAGTAATTTGATTTTGCCACAAAGCGGAGTGTGACATATGGTGGCAGTGTGGGAGGAGAGCAAGCCGTTCCTACCTGTCCTTAGTCCTGTTCTAGAAGCGGGGCGCCAGCATACTCGGTAAGCTCCGTGCAGACGAGAGCAGCGCCCGCTGTCTTGGGAGGCAGCATTCTAGAAGCATTGCCAAAGACCACCCCACCCACCAGTCACCACTCTTAGTAGAAAGAAAGCCATTTTTGTCTCCAGACTTTTAATCTGGCGTGGCAAGCCGCCCTGGGTTCTGTCAGGTTACTAGTGGCTCATTTGTATCTCTAAGGCTGGGTCTATTTAAAAACGAAGTGTTTTGATTTCTGCATCTAAAATCTAGACACTGTTTTCCTCAGCTAAAGGTGCAGCTGACTTTCTTTGGTCTCTTTTTGGCAAATGCATAATGTCACCTGTAACAAAGGAATCTGCATCTCCTTTATGTTATGTTTGCGAAGAAAACAGTCTCCTTAAAATTCATTTTTGCTCAATGGAATTTTCAAATGAGTTTGCTGAGCCTTATCTAAGATCACAAGCAGGCGGGTGGGCAGGGAGGAACCACAGAAAACCCACCTTTTAACTTTCCTGTGCCAGCGGCAGATACCTTTCCTAGGAACTGTCTTTGCCACCACCTTCCCTTCCAAATAAAAGTCCCTATGTATTGATAATAGAGTCTAGAAATGCCCGAGAGCACTTACTATTTGCCCACTGCAACTCTGGATGCTCTAAATGAAATCTGGACCAGGTGGCTGGTTTGCAATTCTAGGAAAGCGGAGAGTAAGGTTGGCTCCAGCTTTGTGTGTGGCCCAGGATCATCCCCACAAAACCCCACTATTCGGTCTCCTGGCCTGCTAAGGAGCTTGATTTTGCAGGTGGTATGTTGAAGGCTTCAAGGTGAAAGATAGAAGGCAGAGCAGATGGTGGTGGTCTTTGTGCCGAATTTGTGCACATTCGCTGAGCTCCCTCCAGTGCCGTGATGGCTATTGATGGAAGACTGTGCAGAAGACACTGCTGCTCCTCCTACTCGCATAGACTTAGCAGTGGCCTCCGCTCACACAGGACAGAGGCTCTTTGCTTCCGCTGAGTCGGAAGAAATGGGTTGAAACCACACATATAGATTAGGAGAAGCATCTGAAGATAAGCATTGCCATGCTTTTGTCATGTGTCTTCTGTTGTTAGACACTAGCAGTGCTTCCTCCCTTCCTGTCACCTCTGCAGTAGTTTTGTTCTTAGATGTCAGGAGGTACTATGAGGCTGAGTCAAGGGACTCACAAGACTACAGTCACCCAAGAATGACTTTTCAGATGCTGTTACATCTTATTAGGGTGGGCCTTAACCTTCAAGAAATGCCTGGAGCAAGTTTAACTTTTAATGGCCAGCCTCACACGATGGTCCTCCTGTTAGGGGAAGGTGGCTGCTAGTGGGGTGCTATGGAATCTGGGCTGCTTGATGACCAGAGTCCCCACCACCTTCCCTAGTATCGCCCCAGACGGCACCACCTCTTCTCCCACCCACCTGCCCGCTGCTGACAGTGGTAGTCACCCGGCCGTCTGCACCCTCTCCTGCCCTCCTTCAGCATGAGAACCAGCAGGATGATCCTGAGACATGCCTTCTGACTTCCTTAGCAGAACTGTTGGTGTTCACTTTTTAACAGATGGCTCTTGTGCAGGCTGTCTCTCATGAGCCCCAGGTGTCTAACTGAAATTTTGTATCACGTGACTAAGGAGCTTGTCTCTGCTTTTCTCAGAAAGTGTGCCTTAACATGTCCCTGGTGTAATGGGCATGTAATTTAATTTGCTCCCCCTTAAGAGGTGGTTTTGGGTCTCGGCTGCCAAATCGTACGTACCTATTGTGTTGCTGTGACTAAACAGGGAGCTGGCGTGGTTTGCTATGTAGGGGGCAGAGCCAGCTCTTTGCGTGCCATAGGCCAGCATGTTTCCAGTGAGCCTCCACTGCAGGACAGGAGGGCTCTTGGGACCCCCCCACCAGCACTCTTGTCATCTGTGAGTCCTTAATAAGTACCCGGCACCATGCCAAATGCTTAGTGCCAGTGGTCTCAGTGAGTGTTAAACCCTGGGAGGTGGAGGCTTCAGTAGGCCAGTGGAGGGGTGAAAACGAAGCTGCTAGCTCACCTCATATATTTGACTATACCAAGAAAGGTTTTAGAGTCAAGGAGTTTAGGGGTAAAGTAGTAACGGGGACATAGAAGAGAGTTTAGGAATCAAGTGTTAATAGTGACATAGAAAGCTGAGTAGATAAAGGCCAAAGAGAAATCCAAGAAAACTGAAAGCACAGCTATTAGGTCCAACTAAAGAAGGCCTGTGTTTACAGTGGGGTCCTGTAGAGGAGACTTACATATCCCAGTGGAAAGTTAACGTGCGCTCAGAGCACTTTATTTAAAATATAAACATAAGCACTTAGAACAGAGCCACTCTGCAAAGGGTCACGAGAGAAAAGAGAGGAGATGTTTTCATGAGGGGCCTTATAATCTTGTCTTCTTGAAGGTATCATACCACCTAAAGGTTGGGTGTTAGGTATGAAATGAAGTCTTCATACCTGTGGATTTCCAGCCTCTGACAGGACTCCAGTTCTTACTTATGTACTTCTTCCACACCAGATACGTCGATGATGTCATCAGCCGCATTGACAGGATGTTTCCAGAAATGTCCATCCACTTATCAAGACCCAATGGGACTTCAGCAATGCTTCTGGTAAGATCTGCTTGCTTTTTTGTGGGGACATGTGAAGGAAAAACCTGTCTTGACACTCAGCTGCCTGTGGAGGCTGAAGAGATGATCCAGTAAGTGCCTGGGTTTGAATCTCCAGGCTTATGTACAAAGCCAAGAGCTGTGTGTAGTAACATGGATTGCAAGCCTAGTGCTAGGGGTTGGAGGCAACAGGGTCCTACAGAGTGTTGGTGTGGTGGCCCAGCTGAATTGGTGAGCTCCAGGTCTGATGACAGACCGTGTAAGTTGTTGGAGGTTGGTCTGATGCCTGTTACTGGCCCTCAAGATCTGGTTACACCTATCCTTGTTTTCTAAACCTGCCTAAGACATACCTGATTAGTTTATTAAACGGCCTATACCTGGGCAGAGTAGAACAGGATAGGCATGGCTAAGGTTCCCCAGGCTAGGAGAGCACAGGAGAATCATGGGAAACAGATGGACTGGATAAGAGGAGGAAGGAGGATACCATGTTGGGTTAGGGTGTGTGTGGGGGGGGGAGCACGAGGGCCTCCAGGAAGGACTCCAGTAATGGCGTGAAAAGGCCCAGATGAAAAATACAGTAATTCTAAGTACCATGGAATTATGTATGGAAGGTAGACCAGGTGAGGAAGATTAATGTGGATAGCATTGGATGGGGGCTGGGAGATGGATGGTGAACTAGCATAGGTGAAATATCTGCCTGGCCCAAGGAAAATAAGGCAATTATAAAATCTAACAAGTGTCTGTGTCTTATTATTTGTGACAGTGGGTTAAGTAATATCACCGTGATAGTCTTAGAGCAAATAATGAACATTATAGCCCAACACTTTTTTTTTTTTTTAACTACAACACAACCTAGAGAGTGACACCTGACTTCAACCTCTGGCCCCCACACGTGCACACACACCTACATGTATGGCTCCTCATGTGGTCACCCTGAAACATAAAATTGCTTTCATTGCTACTTCATACCTGTAGTTTTACTACTATTTTGAATCAAAGTGTAATATTTGTGTTTTTTGATGGTCTTTAGGAGGCCCTGTGAAAAGATAGGTCCTTCCTAAAGGGGTCACGACCCATAGGTTGAGAACTACTGCATTAGGATAACCAGTTTGCACTCTGAGCAAATTGTACAGTTTTGAGCAAATTGCAGCCCCAGATGAGAGTTATTGAAAAAGAAGGCACCTTTAGCCATTTGACCTCAAGTCAGGTCATGTGATGGCCTCTCCAGCACCGCTGAGATAAATTTTATATTTTCCGCAAGAGATTATGCTGGGCAATTCTCAGCTATGATTCTCTGCTAAAGAGAAGGAACATGCTGTTGCCCTAGGACTTCATGGTCCCTGAAATCATCTAAACCATTGTCACCAACAACTTCTGATTCTGTTGTTTCTCTTGAGTTTGCACTGAACATTCTGACCTCACAGTCCATTCGTGTTTATATTTTCATAAACTGACCAGTCCAGTGGTCTAGGAATTTGTTGTGGTATCTGTGAGAAGGTTCCTGATGTCTGTGTGATGATCAGTGGCTGAGGAGCCCCTCCTGGGACACACGTTTTATGGCAGTATGTTGGACAAGGGCTTTGGTGGGCATCTGAAAGGCAAGGTTCTGCTTGCGGCCGTGGGTCCCCTGTGGACTGCTGCTGCGGCATTTTCCTGTATGTGACCTTATGGAGCACCAGTCACCCAGCCCCTTCATCTTGGAAAGGCTGATTGTGGGTGCATGTTTATTTTGACTGTGAACGGAAAGGATGTGAGCTTCCTAGGTTTGAAATATTTCATTTATATATACCTGAAGTCCATTGAAGCAGTTTTCTTCTTGTCTATAAAAATCTTTGGACTGAAACATAAAGAAAAATGAGCTAGTACAATGTTCTTTTGATAGAAAAGAAAGCAATTTCTTTCTATAAAAGGTATTTTATGAATCCTGCCCATCATGTGTATAAGGTCCTCCCACCTCCAGGAGTACAGACCCTGTTGGCCAACTTGACAGAGACCAAAGAGTTGATAAAGATAAAAACATAGCATCCTCAGCAAAATAGGATTGTTCACATTATTTCCAGGTCATTGAGCTTCTATTTCATAGAAAGGATAAGAATTCGGCATTCAGAGGGATGAGGGGGATTAGAGGCCAGCAGAACATTTGAGTTCCTACCACCTGACAAAACAGGCAAAGTTGGGCCTGTCAGCCTTAGCCACCTACTCATGGAGCTTCTGTTTGATAGGCTGATTTCACATACCAGGCTGAACCAAGAAGTGCTGTGCAGGTCTCTGTGCCTCTGGCTGGCTGCTGTCACCTGACTTCAGTGGCACAGAACTGCACAGTCAGTGGTGCTTGTTTATTGTAGAAGCGGGAGATTCAGTGCAGAATCTCATGGTCAAGTGAGTGACTATACTTTGGCCATGCCTGCTTTATTTGGCTTCTCTTCTTAAGCAATGGCATTTCCTTAGCTTGCAATGTGAAAAACAATGGGCTGCTGGCACACCATCTTCTGGATGGAGGTGGGAGGTGACTGTCACCTTGGGGGTGAAAGAATCAGGACCAACTACTGCCACCTGCTTAGCACCTTTCTAGTCACTCACTCCCTGATTTCAGCAGCCAAGCTTGAAGGTCTGCAGTGTACCACCACAGGAGGCATAGGCAAGAAGAGAACAACTTTCTGGAGATGGCTCCAGGCTGCTGGGCAGCACACAGGAGGGGGATTTGGAATGGGACAGGCCATTCCAAGGCCTCTTCCCTTGCCAGAGCCTGCACTGCACCTGGATGCAAAATGACATCTCATACCAAAGCAGGCAGCAGAGGCTGCCCAGCTCACTTAAGGAAACCCCTGCTTCATGATGCAGGGTGCTCACATCGTAGAGATCCAGCGGAACAAACACCAGGGCTCCATGAAGCTTCAGACTGGAACAGTGTCCTCTGGTACCCTGGGATTTGTCATCCAGCCTCCCACCCTTGTCAGCCTGGAAGGAGCTTCCTTTGGCCTGACCTGAAGTTGCCCCCTCCCTTTGTTGGGGAGAGTCAGGACTGGGATGCCTAACATGAGTGTAGGGAGTGGAGAGAAAGTAATTTCCCAAGGGGCTGAGAAAGCAACGCTGCACTTGATAAATGAGCAGCAGTGCGGCCAGGCCTTTGGCTTGGACAGCATGCGTCTCCTATCCTCCCAGTGTTCCCAGCTGTGTTCATCTGACTGTGCCCCCACATCTTGTCACCAAGACCCTACAATATCCTCTGTCTGAGGATGGACAGCTCATACTGATAGCATAAGCAGATCTTTAGACTGCCAGGCACTGTGCTGGTGATTTTTTTCTTTAAAAAAAAAAATGTAATTTGATAGGTAACAATTTTATTACATATGTGTAAATTATATGGCTCAGCACTTAATTGAGAAGCAGGGCGGGGCCAACATGTGTTCTTCCCCATACCTTGCTTTGCCACTTGAGGTCAGCTTCCTGAGAATGGCCCTTCTTCTCCCTTGTAAACTGGGGTGCTTTATGTACATGTGTCCCCGACTGTTACAGAGCTGTCATCATACTGTATGTGTTGTTTCTGCCATGTATACTGCTTTCTAGTACAGTCCATCCCATGGCTGTTTACATGGTATTTCTGTTACTGAGATATACTGGGCTTCTTTCCAGCTTTGCATTATATAACGTACTTGCTCACGCGTGCACGAGCGCGCGCACACACACACACACACAAGTAGTCTTAAGCTCCAGTCTGAGTCCTCGTTCCACCAATTCCACTGATATTAGAAGCTTCCAGTTTTCACTGTGTGAGTGAAGAGAAGGTTCTTTGGCTGGCTTATGCATCTGCACAGGAGGCAACAGGGCCGCTGACCCAGGCAGCCCATTGACGAAAGGCAGGTTTGGGTGGAGCTGTGTTGGTGTCCTCCCTCTCTAGACGATCACTGCCGGACAGTCTGCAGTTTGGGATCCCACCGCTTTAGTTGCAGCCTCTCCCCTGAGCAGAAGGCATGGGGGAAACAGGGCAAGTTGATGCCTTCTGAGGCTTCTGCCTTAAGCAATTGGGGTCTGTTTCGCTCACCCAAAACCCAAGCGGCCCTGTTAGTCTGGAAGCACCAGGGCTTCAAGCCCCTCAGGAACAAGAGCCATCACCATCCACCCAGGGCATTTGACCTTGGAGAATACACTGGGACTGTCTTCACCACTAGCACAGCACATGTGTGCAAGCTGGGACGAGGCCAGAGGCAAATACACTGAATACAGGAAGGACAGAAAACCTTGGTTGACCCCACTGGTGGCCTTGGTCCACTGGCTAGAGTGGAGCTCTGCCCCTCTTCTTCCACCCTGACCCCTTGTATGGAATTGAACTGGCTTCACCCTGAAACCAGGCAGTTGGTGAACTCTCCTCAGCTCTCTGTGAGCCTTAGGCCACCACCAGACTGTCGCTAATGTGCCATCTAAGCCCTCAGCCTCTCATGTGCAGCACACAGATCTCTGCTCACTGGGAGTTGTCCTGCTGCTGTGTGAGTTAGTAGCTCGTGGTATAATGAGGGCTGTTTCTGTTCTCTGAAGGGATGAGCTCAGCCATCCAAAAATAAATCTAGCTGTGTTGATATTTAGTTTCAGCTAATCTACCGCCTAACATCCCATTATTAATTTTCCTCCAACAGTCAAAATATTGTAAGAGCTTAACTGAGTCAGACTAGAACAAGCTGCTGGCTTCTTACATCACTTAAAACATTATCATCTCCTGTTTTTGACTGATCAACTAGGTATAAGAAAAGAAGAAAATGGAGCTTTCACTTTGATATTTAAGACATATCCCGGTAGTTTATAATCTTTATTTAGATGTTAATTTGGTTTACAGAAACCTCGAGTTTGTGTACACACCTCTCCAAAAGTACATATTAGCCCTCCTGCCTCGGTGGTCCATCTTCCCTTACGCCCTTGGGTCTGTTACTCCATCTCGCACTGCCCCGGTTATTTGAGGCCTTGGGGGCCTCACTAACACTAGACTGGCCCCCTGCCGCCTGGGTTTCTTC